GGAGTCAAACAGGTTAAAGAAAAGCCTCCAAACAGCTACTGGCTCACAAGTGGTTGCCTGTGATGTTGCCTGAGAGCTACTGGAGGCATAAGACTATGAAAAAAAGGGAACTACAACATAGATTGGTTTAAATTGCCGTGGAGCTRAAGCCTTTTCCTTCAGCTTTTCCTTTAATTTGCAGACAAGGAACTAATCTCATGATTTATCTCTGCCTTGCATATGAGGCCTACTGCCTCGTGCATTAGCTCTTTCTTGTTGCGGTCATCTATAATGGCTAGTTTTGAGTTAAAAAGAGCAGTAGGCCCCTCTGCTCAAAAAACACTGAGATTTCTTTGGATCCAAGTGGAGAGCCACTACTCTAAATGGAAAAGCACATGCAATTTAACATATTTGCTGGTGAAACAAATACCAGTTCTACCATAGCACAGGAAGTACCCAGAAAAACAGAAGGAGAAAATACCTCTCAGCTTCACTTGAATCCCTCCACCTTGGAAYGTCTGCAAAAAAAGAAAGAGTTCAACAAGGGAAAACAATAGACATTAGGAATAAAAATGTAACAAACTTTAAGGTCTATCTATCAGAGTAAGCTAATACATTAGGGCTGAAATATGAAGGTCCCGCTCCTCCCTCTTCCATTTGCACCTTCATCCCTGCTCCTGTCTGAATCTCCTCAGCCCTTCTCTTGCAGTGACATAGATGTTCACGGGACAGGTTGAGGGTAGAAAGGGAACAAGTAGAAAAGAGTAGAAAGAAGAAAAGAGTCACCCTCTCAGCAGAACTGGGCTTGAGCACACAAAAAAAATCTACGGTGCTATGAATTTAGAAGACTCTATTCTCAAAATAAAATTTTAAAAAAGTTCAAATTTGGAAATAAACCTAGAAAAATACTTCATTGTAAGCTGTCTTTCTACACAGAAGCCACTTTCTACTCACTTTGTATTTTTCATGAAGTAATTGAATCAAATCCTGTTGTTACCAAATAGAAAAATGTTCCTTAATGTCCTAAACATATCTCGGGAATATTAGCTATCTTGTAAGGAAAAAATAAATAAATAAAAGAAGGCTTATTTGGAGTAATAAAATAGCCTGTATTCTGCAGCATGAAGAAAACAGGGTTAAGTGCTACCTATATATAGTCCTTAGATACTTCTGGTGTAACAGATCTACACAGGCACATACTTTATAACGTTCATATCCAAGACATATCATCTATACATTAATTCTAGATATTGGAATCTAAGGTAATGAAAAATCATCAACAACTTATCATCTGAGGATAGTGACTTTGTAAATAATTTGCAAACAGCATTTTCTTAAATATACCTTAATTACAGTAAATACAAATTTGTATTTTATTTCATTTTTGTTTTGTATTTGTATTTGCATTTGATTTTATTAGAAATGCTCAGACACTTTTGCTGCCTCAGCCTTGCATTTGCTCCAGCTCTCCTGAGTTTTCCCATGCAAACTCAAATGACGTGACCCGTGTGTCCAACAGGTTTTGTCAGCATGCACAGCAGAACTAACAGGGGTGCTCAGCTGAAGACAGGCAGCCCTGAGAGCTCTGCTCTGCTAAATTCAAATTATGCTGGTGAGCAGTACAAAGTAGCCATAAATCACCATCAGAGGAACTGCTGTCCAAAGTTATTCCATAACTTATGTCTGTACAATTTCTAATTTCTACAGTAGAACAAAGAAATGAGTCTTCTGTCCTGGCAACGCTGTAGCCCATCCGGACACATACTTTTTTTCTTTAAATMATAGTGCAAAAGTTGACCCTCCATGCTACCAAGTTGCTCACACATGCAGGATGTATGAATGGGCCACAAGATCAGAAACCTACAGAAAATACAATTTTTCTAAATTGAAAGACATTTGTATAAAATGGTTGTAATAAATAAGTCTAAAAAAAAAAAAAAAAAGTGGGGAAAAACACATTCAAAAGTATATACTAATATAATATAAATCACAATTTCCAGCCACCACATTATTTCACATTTCTGTTATTACATTTTAGAACTATTCCTGAAAATAGATGCCTTGACTCTTAGAACTCACATTTAATAAAAGCTATTCATGGAAATCCTCCCATCTGTACTGCAACAAATGAGCATGTTTCAATTGTTTTAGATCCGTGTGAAGATGAATGACAGGCCAGCTGCTGTAATGGAATTTTTAGTGAAACGCACAGTTCCGGCTTACTGGGGCTGCCACTGCCATCTATGAACTGAGATGAAAATTCCTYAAATCATCCGTGTGGAATAACCTTGTTCTGTACGGGTATGTAAATGTTTGTTTTCAGAAAAGTTATATATTACTAGAGTTGGATGTACCTTTGTTCAGCAATGCACCTTCTGCAAGACAGAAGAGTGTCTAAGCTGATAGAAGACGTAAGAGCAGATAACAAGCCCTTAAAAATACACTTTGATCTTAGGGCAGACTTTCTGACATCCTCTGGTATTTTAGTTTGTATTTTACCCACTCCTATTTATTTAAATATCCTTACTTGCATCATGAAAGAAGGCATCCCTAATGCAGGGTCTACATTAGAAAATCAGGGCCAGATTTTTGAAAGAACTCCAGGTTTGTCACCTAAATAAGGGCAAGATTTTGAACAGTACTTAGAAATGAACACGTAACAAGAGGAACTCTTTAATTTCTGCTGAAAACAGCACAGGAAGCTTTCRCAAATTACAAATAATATTTAGAACTCATCTTAGCCTGTATCTTTTTCAAAGAGACAGAAAAGGAAAACCTAAGTACTCAATAGTGAATGGCTTCGTTTTCTGACATTTAATTAAGTATTGACAGAAGAGTATGCTCTTTAGAAGGGGAGGGGAGGTAAAGCAGGCCTGGAAGATATCCTTCTGTCCTGCCTAATATGTATTTTCCAAACTTAGTTGCATCAATAACCAGCAAAATAACCATGGCTAACAATCTGGATCAGATCAAAGTGAATCCAACACTGAAGTGCAAAATGTTTTCTTTGTCTCCTTCTCTTCTAGGAAGCAACAGTTTTTAAGAGCACAGTTATGAGCACAGTTACAAGCACATAATAGTGAAGTTCTTGTTTCAAATATTTCTTCTGAGTTACCTGGGCTTTTAAATGAGAAGGTCTTTTAATTAAATGGTTATTTTTCCTTATTATTGAGATTTTTAACTGAAAAGACGTTAGTTTAGCATCTCCACTGGTGTTAAGTCATACAGGCCCATTCAGGTCACCAGAACCACCTAGTCTTACAGCAGCTGAAACCCCTGATCATGCAAACAAATAATCATACACTTGATTCCAAAACAAGGGAGAGTTCCACTGAGCTCACTCACTCATTCAGCATCATAACATGGGCACATTCTCAATATAAGCACAAAAGAATAGCTGATTTTCTGCTTTGCATATTAATGACATAACAGTCTGATTCCCCAAACAACAGAAGGGTAAGTATTTGTACATGGGTGATGAAAACATCCCGTGTGTGATGTTTTTGCTAGTCAATTCTGTAAAACAATGGCAAAATTTGCATTAATCATTCAGGATTTCGTCTGCCATCTCATGCGTTCCCAAAGAAGTTGCCAAGTTGGCAACAACTGAATTAAAAAGTCTCTTCAACCAACGCCACGGTGGCTTGGAACTCGTCCACATGTGCAAGTAACGCCTTTTGGCACAGACAGGGCACAACCTGGGACAGCAACATCCGAACGTGTGGTCAGTTTTACCTGAACTTTAGAGTCAGACCTCGGGAACACAAAGATATTTCCCTTTCAGAATGTACCCATACAAGAGGATCACTTTAAATACATTACCTGTAGTGCACAGCTGGGGTAACCTTCACAGCTCCCTTCTAAAACCTCTTCTGGAACTTTGAGCTTATGCTGATTCTAGGYCTTATCACTGTCTTGAATAAAAATATTTGAGAAGCAAAGAAAAAAAATACCAGCTTTCTGAAAAASAGCAACTACAAAAGTAGCTTCACTTCCTTAAAAGTGATAGTAGAAATTAAAAAAAAAATAGAATTCACAAAATTTGGGACCAAGTCGTTGCTTTCCTGATTAATACCATCATTGACAGTCTTGGAAAACACATTAGACTTATGAAACCCAGGTACTAAAAACTAGTAATAGGCTTAAGCCCCTTCTGAAGCCCATGCCACGGAAACAATTCCATTGTTCTCACTTAATTTGTTCCTGCAAGAGAGACTGTTAAGATCAAGTCTTGTGCGCAGTGTTTATGTCAAGACACATGCAACAGTAACATCTGGTTCTGCCCCTTCAGTTCCTGGACTTTTAACACAAGCCTCTTTTTCCATACAAGCCTCTTTTTCCATACAAGTCTCAAATTTATAGCCTGATCATTTGTGCAAAAATGCCAAGAGTGCAATTTTCCTGTCGCGTATGCCTTGAGCTCAGTCTTTACATTCAAATACCTTCTGCCTCAGTGAGACATATGGCCATTAATAACTTTCATAACATTCCAAAAATGAAAATTAAAGAGGACCTTGAGAGGTTTTTAGCTTACCCTTCTGCCTCAAGGCAGAATTAACTATATTTAAATCTTGCCTGCCAGATGTTTGCCAAAGCTGTTCTTGAAGATCACTCCTAATGCAGGTCGCAGCTCTTCCCGAGGCACTGTGTTCTGGACCCTTTAATACTGTACCCATTAGAAAGGCTTTTCTAATGTAAATCTTCATTGTTGTCATTTAAGCTCATTACTTTTTATACTCTTAATGGGAGATCTACAGAAAAAAAGAAGGAATTTTCTTCCTCCTTTTCTTCTACACTTTTGAAGTTTTATCACAACAGACTTGTTTTGTTTAGTCTTAACAAATCCTATTATTTCATTTAACGGTGAACAAAATTTTAGACAAGAAAACATAGCAAGACTAATATACTTAGAATGAAAAAAGAAGTAGATCCCATTTTGGACCTACCATTTTTATCTATGATTATATACAGTAAAACATTTCAACAATGATCATTTATCATGTTCCTCAAGAGAACCAATAAAATGCCATGAATACACATCCTCTGATGTTGCACAGATACAAAACGTATAGTTTGTTTACAAACTAATATTACTGAATGTAAAAGGAAGCAACATTTTAAAAAAATATATTGGTAAAGGTCCAAAGTTTACATTTCTAAAATATTAAATTCATGTTTTATTTACAGACCAGCTTTCAAACAATTATTGGCATTTTAATATAATTGCTTAACCTGATGAGTACACGAATAAAATGAGGCTGTAAAAAAAAAAAACAAAAAAAAACAATAATCAGAGTAAAGTTTAATCTAACAGTTCTAGAAATGCTATTTTCAACTTCTATTCAGAAATGCAAGAGGTCACCTACCACATAGTAACTTATTAACTGGTCTAACATTTTCATATGGTATAGGTAGCTCATGTGACCAACGTATGCCAACCAKGTGCACGAGAGTGCATTTTTGCCCATTCCAACATTCAGTGAAGTGTTGACAACTGTTGTAGTATTTACACACTTAAAATAAAGGCTTGATATTGGTTTGATCACTTTACCACTCTTACTGTCTTCTCTTGTTGACAAGGCATAGGAGAGTTCAATCCAAAGACTACGGATTTTGCTGACACTGTGAGAACTGAATTAACAGCATCTTCCCAAGGTGGTTCAAAAAAAAAAAAAAATTAAAAATAGGCAACTCTAAGGAACAGACCATTAAGAAACACTGATTCTGCATCAATGACGACTGAAATCACTCCCGAAAATCTTCCTCTCGCTGAGAGGTAGTTTGTCAGAAGGCAGAAATTTTTAGACTTAACCAGGCAGGACCTACTGGCTGCTGTGACTATCCAAGATATAAAGCCCAGCCTGAAAATCGCTGGCAGGGATCTGTAACCTGTGGCTTTACATGGGAGCCTGGGAGGTCTGGCAGGGAATTCCACGCATGTGATAGTGCAGCTAATTCTGCTGTGCTGCCAGAAACGCTCCTTTGCATCCATTTGCACTGGGTTAGGTGAAGTGAAAACTTGAAAGCTGCATCATAGAAACTACAACCTCAGGTTGTATTAGCTTTAACTAATTTCAGTAGCTTTAACTAATTTCAGCTGGCTCTGAGCAAGGAAAACACATGCTTCCTGCTGCACCCTTTTTTCTATGTTGCTCTGTCCCATCTCCTGGGGACTGCACTAGATTTCTACAGCAAACACAGAAACAAACAGGGCAGATTTTTTTCCCACAGAAGGGACAGGTGAACGCAATGACCTTCCTGTTTTGCCAGCTTGGAGTCCTGTGAATGTGAATAATGCAGGGKTTTTTTTTCAGGAAAGCAAACATTTACCACTTCCATAAGCTCACTAGCTTGATGAAAACAACAGGATGCTTGATGAAGCAGATTAAGAAGCAGTTTCATTTGATCACCTTCCCCATCGCTCTTTGCTGTATCAAAATCTAACACCTACAGTAGGTGAAAAAAAAATGAGGAAGTAAAGGAAAACCTAGGAAATCAATGGTTGTGTTTCACAAACTGTAGATATGACACCTTCAAAATTATGAAAAATAAGTACTTTGTTTCCATGTTTGTAATTTTGAGATGTCAGCCTTTTTAAACATAAATCACTGATTTTGATGTCTACAACGCATGTAGTAATTCCATACTAGATGAAACAAAACATCAGCCAGTGATGATCCCTCTGTTTTACAGAGAACTTGATCATACTCTTAAATTAAACCACATGTTAGTGCATTATAGCTGTAATGGCAACAAAACGATTTTATGCTCTAAGAATACGCATCTCAATTATTTTAAAATATCTAACCAAGCAATGCTGTGTGTTCCTATGCAGCATTCAAATCCTCTAAAAATATGTTTTCTTGAAAAGATAACTATCAGTCTGAACATATGCCAACAATAAATTCTGACCAGTTTAATTTCTTATATTATTTCTGTTAAAGTTGCTGCTTTTGTTTCTAACTGCAAGCTATAGTTTCTAACTGCTGCTCTGCTTCAGCAGCCATAGCTGCTGCCTGTAATTGTTCTGTTTCACTCTGGATGGCATTGGCTGCAGGAACTTGTTTCCTTTCACTGTGCATATTGTTCTCGTGCCTTTTTAGATCCGAGGCCTTAGCAAAGGCTTTTGTGCAGGAAGTGCAGACAAAAGGCTTCTCTCCTCGGTGTCTTCTCTCGTGGTCTTTGAGGTGGGACTTGTGCTTGAAAGCTTTGTCACACATATGGCACGCAAAGGGCCTCTCGTTACTGTGAACTCTTTCGTGCTTTTTTAGATCYGGCGCACGAATAAAAGACTTTCCACATACCTCACAACTATAAGGCTTGTAACCTGTGTGTATTTTCAGATGCTCTTTCAAGTGAGCTTGTGTGGTAAAGCCCTTTGTGCACATCTCACAAACAAACGGCCTGTCAGCAGTGTGTAGCTTTTCATGTTTCCTCAGTCGTGCCTCATCGGAAAACGTCTTGCCACAAGCCTGGCAAACAATATGCTCCCTGTGACCATAAAGCAAATACTCAAACTTCATGTCCCCAGCTCCTGTTGTCCAGCCTGGTGTCTGTTCATCTTTCACTTCACTTATGCCATCATTAAATGTCAGTGCCTGAGGGGTTTGAGATCCTAAGTCTTTGGATTCACTTGTTTCCATAGGCTCTACTTCCTGGCCATAACAGTTGACTTTTCGGACCTCCTCGCTCCCCAGCTCTTTCAGAATTGCTTCTTGAACTCTCAGGGTAGTGGTAGGCGATTTTCCATCCTCCTGACTGGGGGGAGTTCCTTCCACTGTCACATCTGACGGGCTATCGTCGTGATCTCCAATTTCCTCCACATCATCGTCCTGGGCATCGTTAGCTTCCCCGATAGGACGGTTTATTTTTAGACAGTACTTGCTCTTGGACTGTGTGTTTTCTTCAGGACTAGATACATCACGTTTCTGAGAGCAGAGTTTATCTAAAAAACGAATACCAAGAATCTGGCCTGAAGACATCATCAAATTTACATCCTCTTTCTTAACAGAAATCTTTGCAGTATACATGTAATTGAGAACTTCCTCAAAAATATCAGAACGAAGAAAATCTATTTCTATAACTGATGAACTATCAACTTCTAGTTTTTTGAAAAGCTTTTTGAAGTAGGTACTGCAGGCAGCAAGTACACACCGATGTGCTCGGAATTTAACATCCTCAACCACAATAGCTATGTCACAGAATTCTCCTTCCAAACGTTGTTCATTTAATGTTTTCAGAAACACAGTTTTGTGATCATCGTCATTATATTTAATGGTTTCAGACATACTGATGAAAAACTCCTGTAAAATAACAAGAGAAAGTTTTGTATGTTTTATAAAGTGGTCTAAGTAATGAAATCAAAACAGCCGATGCCATTTACAAATTTCAAGAACTGTCAAGTGAAAATTTTGGCTTAATTTGAGCAGAAAGCCCTTTCAGATTATAAAAGCACTATTTTAAAAACTCTCTTAAAGTTGTAAATACAAAAAGGTCTTTCTTTAAGTATCTCACAGGACACTCTGTGATTTAGAGTTGATTTTTTTTTGTAATATGGTACTAATTTATTCAGATGTTTACCGATTCAGTCATTCTAAGTTGAAAACTTTCTCTGTGAAATTGTGATTTCCAATAAACGTATGATCCTATTGTAAGAGTAGCAGTTCTTATAGCTAAAATATATAAATTAAAATTTTGTAAAATCCTGTAGCTAAATACTATACTATACCAAGTGCTAAAAAATGTATAATAAATACGTATCACTACAGCTTTCTAATGAGAAACTAACATGCACCAACACAGCTCAAACTMCATGTGAAATAGCAAACGTCTTACCATGAACAACGCAGGAAATTTTCTGAATAAAACAACTATGAAGAAGTACCAGATGACTACCACTCACAAAGGACCACCTTCAGCCTGAAAGACAGAAAATAAAAAACATTTAAGAATAAAATTATTCAAAAAACAGTACTGTAAATTAGCATGTTAAAATATAACACCTTAAATTACTTTACCTTACATGATAAATCCTGTTAAAACATCCAGTTAGAATGATTCTATGGATGACTACATAAACTAATTTGTTGTCAAAAAGCATGTATTTTCTTCCCTTTTTCTTTCCAGCTACTTACCATTCGCTAGGTTTGGAACTTATAAAACTTTCTGTAGAATACATACAATTGACCCAATAACTCATTAAAAAAAAAAAGTGAGCAGCCTTCTGCTGGATTAGAGAGCTGAAGAAGCCTAGGGGAAGGCCTGKTACGTGCACAGAGGACGGACAGTGGTGCTGGGGATGGATGCACACCAGGGCCAGGGGAAGAAATGCCGTGAATACCAGATACCAGGGGAATGTGCTCCCTCATTTTTTGGAGTAATGTACTTTTACAAATGCTTGAGTCCATCTTTTGCATAATGAAGCTGGCATTAAAGCATGTGCTCACCTCCTATTACTTAAACAAAGGGATACACAGGTCTAAGTGTCCTGGACARCAGGCAAGAGAACACCTGGGTACAGCTAAACAAGGAAGAAAACTGAACAGGACAGCAAGGAACACCAAAAAAATATATCATTTAAATTATTCAATCCCTGCCTAAGGCACCTAATTCTGAACTAGGGAGGAARAATGTGGAAGAGAGGAGCAGATCCCCACGTTTGTTTCAAACATCTCCCTCCCTCGCCTGCCACAGAGCCACCTGCAGTACCACTTCATTCCTGACTGGTCCCATACGTTTTCCATCCTTGTTCCATACATTTTTTCCTCAGCCATGTAAGACATGGAGGCCTCTGAGAGCTGTGCCATCTTCCTTGCCTGCTGCAGGGCATTCTACATTGCTTTTTGGCAACAAAGCATGGAGCGACACAGAATAAAAGAAAAAAAAA